GGGATTGAATGTAGGCATTCCAAAATGGGATGCAAGGTTCAAGAAGTATCTTAACCACTACGTCAGATGTCCATACCCAAGAATTCTTAAAAACTCAAAAATAAAAAGGACCAACCTCAGAGCATACCCTACATCCGGGACCTAGGGAGGGTGGGAAATTGAGTGGGCCTTCTCCCTTAATACCCACCCCCCGCTTTAAACATGAAGGGAACAATATGGAAAAAATAATAGTCTTACCCACTTTCCTGTAGCCCTTGAACCTTTTTACCCTAATTATGTAAAGATTGTCAAAACATAATAATAAAAAAAATCTTAAAAAAAGATAAAAAGGACCTACGTAGACCCTTGCACGTGGCACAGTGGGATAACCTGCTGCTTGTGATACTGGCATCGCATTGTGGGGTCCTGGTTGTTCTGGATGTTTTGCTGTCAATTCAGTTCCCTGCATAGGGCTCGGGACACCATGCTGGCCTCCAGGTTGGGGGCTCATCGGAGTGGGAGTGGCCGACAGCGTGTTTGACAGGGAAGCAACGGTTTCTAGGGTCTTCTTGGTACTTGGTAACTGCGCTTCCAGGTAGGTAAGGGAGCTGAGACAGAGTGATTTAGAGGTGGGAAACCAGAAACCGCCAAACCTGCCTGTGAGTGTCAGGGCAGGGGTGGGCCATGTAAGGATGGGCCACAACACCTACCAGAAAATGAGAGAACTGGATTTGGGGGCAGATTCTGTAGGAGAATCGTGGGCTCTCCCTGCGAGACTGTAGCATCCACTAGTTTACGTGAAGAGCTGGGCGTGGTGACTGGCCAAGCCAGGCTGGACCATGGAACTCACCTGAGAGGAACCCACCTGCCACTCGGGGCCCTGGGGCTGGGAGAAGCCAGGTGGGACCAGGCTGCAGTAACAGCTAGCACATGCAACTGGGCTGCTGTAGCCACTGGCATGCGTGAGATCTGGAACTGGGAGAAGACTTGGGTAGGGCAACTTGGGGAACTCTACTAGGGGAGCACAGTGGCCAGGATTGTAGGGGGCAGGCCAGGCAAGGCTGCAGCACTCCTCAGCATTTGTGTGGGCTGGGTCTGGGAACAGGCTAGGATGGGCCAGGTCTTATCACCCATGCTCTGCATGAGAGCCAGAACAGGGTGTGGGCTGTGCCTGTCTGGGCTGCAATACCCAACGAGAGCTAAAACTGGAAGTGGGCCAAGCCACGCTGAGTCCAAGTACTGCCAGCATGCGCAAGGCCCAGAGCTAGGAATGGGCCTAATAGGGAACTCTGCGGACTAGCTCACTGGGCTGCAGCTCCCACTGGTGAATGCAAGAGTCGGGGACCAAACTAGGAAAGGTTGCAGCACACATTCCCATGCATGTGGGCTGTGTCTTGGGGTGGGCCAAACTGGGCTGGGCTCCAGCACCCACTGGTGCTCCAGAGAGCCAGAATGGGTGTGGGACAGGTCGGGCTAGGCCACAACACCCACTGGTCACTTGAGAGCTGGGCCAAGCTGGGTTAGGCTATAGCACCCATTGGTGAAAGCCAGAATGGCTTGTGGACAGCTGGGCTGGACAATAGCCACCAGAGTGCCAGAACCGACAGGCCATTTCAGTCTGGACAGTACCATCTTACCAGCACACGCAGATCTAGGGTTAGAAGTGGGTCTGCTGCGTGAATTTGGGAAACTGCCCTGCTAGACACAGCTGTTACTGGTGAGGACAAGAGCCAGGGCTGGTGGTTAACAGGCTAGGCCAGACTGGGTCACAGCACAGATATATTGGCATGTATCTGAACTGTTTCTGGGGCTGGGCTGGGCAGGGTCAGTCCACAGTACACACTGGCACGAGTTGAGCCAGGCAGGGTTTGACAGCAATACCTGCCAATTCACATGAGACCTAAGGGTGGATCAGACTGGGCTAGGCTGCTGCGCTCATAGGAGAGAGCTGGTATGGGGGATGGGGGGCGTCCGGCCAAGCCAGGCTGTAGCACCTGCTGGTCAGTGCCAAGCCTGGGGACAGGACATCTCTACTGAGCCACAGCACCTGATGATGCATGCAAGGCCTTAGAGTGGGTCTGGTAGGGGAACTTTCAGAACTCCCTTGCAGAACTGTTGCTTCCACTGGTGAGCATGAGAGGTAGTACTGGGGACAGGCTGGTGTGGGAGTGTGCCAGGCTGGGTTAGGCCGCAGCAGAGGCTGGCATGTGCAAAAACTGAGGCTAGGAACAGGTCTCCTGGGGGTCACTCCAACTAGGCTATGGCACCTGCTGGTATGCCTGAAGACTGGTCTGTGGTGGGCTGGCCGGGTCTGGCTGTAGTCATCATGTGTGTTTGAGATAGGCAACTGAAGCAGAACCGATCAAGCTGCATCCGCTGGTTTGTGGACTGACTGGTGCAGGCAGCGGATCACATGAACCTGCATTGGCTGGTGCAGAGAGTCAAGTATTAAGAAACACCAGGTGGTTTCTTGGGGGACTCCCCAACTAGACTGCAGGACTCAGAACTTGGCCAAAGAAAAAAATCACAGTGCAACTTTGTGTTTTGGGACTGAGCCTCCCTGGTTCAGTGGCCAGCATGTCCAGATGCACATGGGGGTCATGACAGCCAGCTCATCTAGGACAGCAGATGTCAACAACCTCGTCAGAGGATGGAGAGCAGAACAGGTTGAACAATTCTGGCCAAGCTATGCAACAGGTTGAAGGGTCTGTGGATGCACTAAGGTGGTCTTGAGCTGAAGACCTGGGGGAAAAAATTCAACAAAATCAACAAAAACCACCAAAGCAACAAAGTCGACAACGATGTCCCTTGGCTATGAACACCATTCAAGCACAACCTCAGAACACTCTTCCCTACAACGGGGTGTCCAGGGCATCGAAGGACTGTCCCCCATCCCTGGGTGCTCATGTAGCTTGACAGCAATGAGAGGCTCCCTTCCCCTCTGGACACAGGAAGGAAAAAAAAGACTAAAACAAGTGCTCCACCCACTTTCCTCCATACCTGACCCATCCTCATCAGAGGCCCACATGGGCATGTGTCTCTCAACTATGTAAACATAGTAAAAATTAAATTGGGGGTTGAAATAAGGTCTGGGTACTGGGGCCCATCATCTAGCTAGGAACAAGATCGTTTTGGCCTGGCCCAGCCCTGACTCTTAATGGTCCTTTAAGAAGCGAGCCAGTGGGTCCGAAATGGTGACCTAGTGGCTTAAGTCCTTGCCTTGCTCGCACTGGGATCCCATACGGGCGACGGTTCTAATCCTGGCAGCTCCGCTTCCGATCCAGCTCCCTGCTTGTGACCTGGGAATGCAGTCGAGGACGGCCCAAAGCCTTGGGACCCTGCATCCACATGGGAGACCTAGAGGAAGTTCCTGGTTCCCAGCTTTGGATTGGCACAGCACTGGCCACTGTGGTCACTTTGGGAGTGAATCATCAGACGGAAGATCTTCCTCTCTGTCTCTCCTCCTCTCTGTATGTCTGACTTTGTAATAAAAATAAGTAAGTCTTTTTTTTTTAAAGAAGTGAGCCAGCAAATGGAAGGCCTATCACTCCTTCCTTTAAATTAACCATTATTTTTAAAAGATCAGTTATTTTTTTTAAAGTTTCAGATTTTTTTTTTTAAAGATTTATTTATTTATTGGAAAGTCAGATATACAGAGAGGAGGAGAGACAGAGAGGAAGATCTTCTGTCTGATGATTCACTCCCCAAGTGAGTGCAACAGCCGATGCTATGCCGATGCCAAAGCCAGGAGCCAGGAACTTCTTCCAGGTCTTCCACACGGGTGCAGGGTCCCAAAGCCTTGGGCCGTCCTCGGCTGCTTTCCCAGGCCACAAGCAGGGAGCTGGATGGGAAGTGGAGCTGCCAGGATTAGAACCAACGCCCATTTGGGATCCCGGTGCGTTCAAGGCGAGGACTTTAGCCACCTGGCCATGCCGCCGGGCCTAAGATCAGTTATATTGAGAGGCAGTTGGAATGTAGGAGAGACAGAGGTCTTCCATCATACTGGTCACTCCCCAAGTGGCTGAAATTACCAGTACTGGGCCAGGTCAAAGCCAGGAGCTTAATCAGGCTCTCCCACGTGGTGGCAGGGGCCCAAACATTTTGGTCATCTTCTGCTTTCCCCGAGTCATTAGCAGGCAGCTGGGTCAGAAACAGAGCAGCTGGGACAGGAACCGTTGCCCAGGCAGGCAGGATGCTGCCAATACAGGCAGTAGCTTTACTCACTCCACACCAGCTCCAATCAATTAATCATAAAGCAACAAAACAAGGCACTGATGGTTAAGCCTTGGCCTGTGGCACCAACATCCCACCCTGGCTCTGGTTCAAATCCCAGATGCTCCACTTCTGATCCTGCTTCCTGTTGATAGCCTAGGAAAGCACCAAAGACAACATAAGTGCCTGAATTCCTGCCACACACACACGGGAGACCTGGAGGAAGCTCCTGGTTCCTGGCTTCGGACTGGCCCCGCTCTGGCTATTGCAGCCACTTGGAGTGTGAAGCAGTGTATGAAAGATCTTGTCCGCTCTATAACTACCTTTCAAATCAAAATAAATCATAAAAACCAAACAAATAAAAACAAAGAACAACTACCTTCTTGCTCCAGGCTCTCGCATGAGGTTGGAGTGACAGAACTGGGGCTCGGGCGTGTTTAACTGTCAAGTGCAAGCTCAGCATGCAAACAGGCACTGTTTTCTTTTTAAAGATAGTGACATCACCCAAAATTAAAACCATACGGAAGGATATAAATGAGGCACTTGCCCGGATTCCCTGGCTGTTATTCCCAGATGTCATCCTGGTGAAGTTTCTTGTGTAAATCATGACTTCTTAGTTTGTTATTAACGTGACAGGAACATCATACAGATATGTTTCTTATAAAGGCAAAATGGTCCAGAGCCTGTTTAGACACTGAGGCTACATCCAGGTCCCAGTCACAGAGCCAAACTTTCTTGAAATCCAACAAAGAACTGAGAAAACAACAACAACAACAACAACAACAACAACACAAAACACAACTCACATATTTTAGTCTTAAGCCAGATTTCCTTTATTTCTGTTTGCGACAACTGAAATCCATCAGACACTTATAAAATGTCCCAAATTGGCAATTACCTGGAAACAAACTATTATTAACTGGATCAAACCATATCTGTCAAAAAAAAAAAAAAGTCATTGAACAAACACTTGCAGTTCAAGAAACCAAAATGTCACTGGTACGCAGCTACCCCAGCAGATTGTTGCACGGCTCCTGATCAAACTGCCAACACTCGGGAGGGACCTAGGGGGGCGAGCTCCAGTTCCTTTTAATGTTGCCTGTAAACAGACTCCAGCTGATTTGTGGGTGAAGAGTCTAAGAAGGAAATGACAGCAATCGATCGTGCTGGAGTTGGGGTGAGGTGTTAGGGAGGGTTGAAATAAACTGGGGGTCCAAACAGTCCCACGGATACAGCACTGAAAGGAATCTTACCAATGAAAGTGTACAGGTGTTTTTCCTGCCCAAACAGGACACAGTGAATGTGGGAAATCGGATTCTTTTCAGCAATATTCCTTTGACCACATGTGTGGATTCTCCCACAGCCTGAATATTAAAATCATCTTCACATGGTCATTCTCTTAATGTTTTTAATTAAAAAAAAAAAAAGAAACATAAAAAAGAACAGATAAAATATTGCAACAGTGAGCGAATGCAAATTCCTGTTGGTCCGCGAGAAGAGGGACTGAGCGCACTCCCTTTAGAGATGCAAGCCGTTGTCCACTGTGCATTCACCTGGTCTCACGGTGGCCCTGAGCGGGCTGCCCACGCTCCGCAGTTTCCTAAGAAGTCCTCGGGGCGGGCCAAGGTCAGCAGCTCAGCGGGGCTATTCGCTGCTCTGGGCGCTTTCGGCCCTCCAGCGAGGTTCCCAACAGAGCTCTGAGCCCTGACTTGCCCCAGGAACTTCCTAGGATAGCAGATGAAACTAATTAGCACACAGCCCATCGAAGCAGCACAAGGCATTTCACCATCTGCGTGCAGAGCCCTCCCTGTGACTGCGGCACAGGCCACAGGAGGAGCGTCTCCACCACACGGGGCTCCAAGGCCACTGTCCTCCCCGCAGACAACCTCGGTCTGCCTTCACTGCTGCTCCTCCCCGGGGCACAAATATTTCTTTCTACTTATTTTTGTCATTTTTTTTTCCCAACCACAAAATCCAACCTGTTGAAGGGATGAAGGGGAAAAACAAACAGACAAACAAGCTTGTGAATGTCCAGGAAGCAGCTGCTAAGCCCCCATTACACGCGGCGCCAGGTGCACTCTGCTACGCGGGCTCCTCTTCGTCCATCGCCACGTCGCTTGCGTTCTGCTTCTGCTCAGCTTCCGGGTCCGCCGGCAGGATGCTGGTGACCGTGTGGAGAAGGGCTTCAATCTGCTCCTCCGTGAGCCGCTCCTCGCTCTCTTCCACTATCTGCAGGAGGAAGGCAAGCCTTGCAGGCGTTAGGAACGAGCCGCACGCTCACAGCCCTGACTCCTAGCACACAGCGTTCTGTGCCTGCATCCTGAGCCTTGCCTGGTCCCTAGGTCCTCTCCATCTTGGCTCCAGAGGGAGTGAAACAAGCTCAAAAGCCAGGCTGAGCCAAGGCAATTACTCAGATTGGGTTGCTGGGGAAAAAAAAAAAAAAAAAAAAAAAACCCTGGGCTGCAAGACAGCTTTTTAAAAGGAAAAGCACACCCCGCAAAGGCCTGAGCCCTTTCGTGTACAGACAGGTGTGAATACATTTCATTTGCAAACAAAACTCACCTCTGGGAAATACAGTGACACTTTCCATACGTTTGCATTTTATAGCAAGCGTAGCTGTAATCTGAAGAACAGAACAGGTCTTCAGGGTGGAGGGGTGGCGCAGTGGTGAAACCACCGCTTGCAGTAACAGCAACTCACACAGGTGCTGGTTCAAGTCCTGCTCTCTGCTAATGTGCCTGGAAAAGGGGCAGAGGATGACCCAAGTACCCACAGGCGAGACCCAGAAGAAGGTTCCGGATCCTGGCTTTGAACTAGTCTGGCCCTGGCTATTTGAGGGCAGTTGGGGAGTGAGCCAGCAGATAGAAGATATCCCCTCTCTGTCACTCTCAGAGAAACGGATAAATCTCTTTAAAAATGTACTGGTGAATTTTTTTTTTTTAAATAAATGCATCCTCCTGTGACTGTCCTACTACAGGCCACATGGTTTCTCTCTTCTGGTTCTCAGCACCACTGTCACTCCAGCAGCCCTCGAGGGCAGAGCCTCTCCCCTGCCTGGGCCGTACCCCCTCTGCCTCCATTCATTCTCTGAGCCCTCCCCGGGGTGTAGAAACGGAACTGCCACGCAGGTTGGCTACTGTCGGAAACACACCTTTTAACACTACTTGGCCTCAGCAATGCAGAACCGAGTGTGGCACCGAGGGCCAGAAGGAATCCCGCACTGTGCCATGGCTTCGGACACAGTCCCAGGAAACAGCCTCACGGCCAGTTTCTAAGAATTAACATGGCCGGTCAACCATCATTTTTTTTTTTTTAAAGATTCTTGGAAAGACAGATTTACAGAGAGGATAAAGATCTTCCATCCACTCCCCCAATGGCTGCAAAGGCTAGAGTTAGGCTGATCCAAAGCCAGAAGCCAGGAGCTTCCTCTGGGTTTCCTATGGAGCTGCAGGGTCCCAAGCCTTTGGGTCAACCTTCACTCCTTTCCCAGGCCACGAGCAGGGCTCTAGATGGGAAGTGGAACAGCTGGGACATGAACCAACATCCATAGGGGACCCGAGCACTTTTAAGGTGGAGTGTTAGCCAATGGAGCCATCTTGCCAGGCTTAGTCAACCAGCTTTTACAACGCAGTGGGCAGACTGCTATATGACTTCACCTGTCCTTCACCTGTCCGACAGGTGATGACACGAATCACCTATCGGACACCGCAATCACCTATCGGACACCGCAATCACCTATCGGACACCGCTCTGCAGCAGGCCTGCTCTAGGGCAGTTGTCCTGGTGGCCATCTCTGGAATCTGGCAAGCGGCCCCAACAGGAGGAATCCCGGCAGATGTTCAGTGAATCAAGAGAACAAGGCTAGGCTTACAACCCTGAGCAGGATGTCAAGGCTGACTCCTTCACCAAGGTCACACCCCAGATTCCTGACAGAACACTGCTCCCCTCATTCATCGCGGCCAAAAACTGCTCCCACGACCAGGGCTCAATCCCGGACGTTGTCTGCAGGGACCGTTAACACCAAGCAAAGTGACCCGAAGCAGGCAGACAGCTCCTTGCACGCCTTCGTGGAGGCGAGCCTGGGAACAGCGAGGACGCCGAGGACCACTGGCACGGACGGATGGGGGCTTCGCGGGGCTCACACCAAGCACTTGCAGTGCTCAGAGCTTGCACAGGCTCTGGGGTGAGGTCACGCTAAGCCTCCTCGTCTCTTCTCTCCAACTGTCCTTGAGCCACGGATCACATATGCTGCTGATTAAAGCTGGAGGAGACGTGACATGTGATCTTTTAACCCAGAGGGACAAGGATTAGTTTCTTGCTGTTCTGTTTGCTTTTTTCCTTTCCTCTGACTCCCCAACACAGTTTAAAGCATCAGAACAATGAGCACATTTAAAAAAAGGGGGGGAGGGTAAGGAAAGGGGTGGGAGAGTTGTTCCTGCCTTCTGGCTAGCTCCCCTCAAAAAGAACTGTTTATGGAAGGAATTGTTCTAATTTAATTTTGGGTGCATTTTGGAGGGCCGAGAACAACTCTAGGAAGACACTGATGGTTTTAGCCGAAAATTAAATATTCCATGACCCCTGGACAAAAGACCCTTTAAATACGCAACCTTACAGAAACATAGAAATTTCTGACCATTCTCTTCCACGCTTTTTCTAAAGGAAAAGTCGACAAAGAACTAAATATTTCTAAAACTGACTTTGGAAGCAGCTTTGTTCTATTCTATCACTTCTCCAGGCCGAAGCCTCTTAGACCTGGGAGTCGGCTGCTCTGCCCAGATGACACAGGGAGCTGCCGCTGTGTGCGCCGAGCAGCCAGCGGCTCTGCTGCGTTAGCACAGGCTTTCCACTCGGCCTGCCTCTCCCCAACTCTGAAGCCTTCTGCTGGGATGCCATTCAGGGCCTCACAGGTGGGCCGAGGCTCCCCCCCAGAGGTTCCAGGCAGGGAGACAAAGCATCAAGTCTGTGGTTCTAAAGAGAACTACAGAAGCAGCAACTGCGGTGCAGTAAGGGTCCACCTGCAAGGCAGGCATCCCACATCAGCACCAGCTCAATGCCTGCAAGTTCTGCTTCAGATCCAGCTGCTTGCCACCGTGCCTAAGCAAGCAGAGGAAGACAGCTGAATTACTTGGGCCTCCGCCACTCACGTGGAAAATCTGAATGGAATTCTAGGCTCCTGGCTCTGGCCCCGGTCCAGCTCCAAGTGTTGTAGACAGCAGAGAGAGCTCTTAAAAGTCTTAAAATTCAAAAAGCAAGAAAGGGAGACCGTGGCCTTTGGCGGCCGTGGCATGGGTGCAAAGAGCCAGCCTGCAGGCCGGGAAGGTGGTGAATGGATAACTGCATGAACCAGGCTGAGAGACAGTGACAGAAATTAGTGCGGTACAGGAGAGAATAAACAGCAAGAGACAGACACAGGCAAATGTGAGGACGGACAGAGGAAGAGCGTGGGTCCTGGGGTGGCGAGAGGCAGCATGCGTGGGGAAGCGCGTGTGCTCCGGGAACTAACCAAGGGAACAGACAAAGAGGAGGAACGGGGAGGGGAGCAGAGGCGATGGGTTCCACTCCAGGCACACACAGCTTAATGTTTTTATACAACATCTGGTTGGCAATGAGCCCTACAGCAAAGCAAGGCCAGAGTGACCCAGGACTGCGGGGCAGACAGCTGCCAAGTCACGGCCCCAAACTCCTGGGAAGAATTAAATTCCTCTAGTCCTCCACCTTCGCTAGGCCCACACTAACTCCGACCGGCTTAACGAGGGGGTCTCTTCATCTGTACAGGGAGGTGGTCGACCAGGCAAGGACCTCCCCTCCCCCCGGAGGCCCAGGGCTCCCTCACTCACCAGCTGGATCTCGACAGCCGTCATAGGCCTGTGGTTCAGCAGCTGAAGCTTCTCAGCTCTGTCAAAAGAGAAGTAAGAAGGCATTTCAACTTCCATGGTCCCAAGGACTGGGAGCCTTGACCAGCCTGTGAGAAAAGACGCTGGCAGATAGAAGATGCGAGAACTCCTGGGACAGCACCCTTAGTTTATTCAGCTGTAAAACGAGAGAGGATGGGACCAGCAGCGGGGCTGTCAGGCACTCTCACATCACGGTATACATGTGAACCAAAATTCTAAACAATACAGATGTAACAGTAAAAAACGAAGCTAAAAAATGAAGCAGCAAGAGACGCAAGGCTTTGTTATCTTAAAGCTAATTTATTATTTTCATCAACGTGGAAGACGAAGTGGCACTGCTGGTTTACTTTGCGAATGTCGGGGGCAGCTCGGGCTGGACCAGGAGCCTAGAATTTCCACCAGGCTTGGGTGGCACAGACTCAAGTCCACTGCCTCGCACGCTGAATTAGCAGCGCGTGGGAAGAGAATTCTAGTACCCAGAACCCAAACAATATTCCAACAGAAGATGCAGACGCACACCCTAGACCGTTTTTGAAAAGGATTTGACATAGTCACTTTTATTAGAAAAAATATGAAGAAAATAAAAGTGAACAGAATTATCCTGGCTGGTCTTTGTTTAAAAATGGCTCATAGGGCCCAGTGCAATGGGTGAACTGGTTAACCGTCCACCTCCAAGTGCCACCATGTAGGGATCCTGGTTGAACATTTAGGGAATAATACAGTAAATGGAACACTGTTTTGTTTGAAATATAGATTTTTAAAAGAATGTTTTTAAAGTTAGAAAGTTAGATGTACAGAGAGGAGATAGAGAAAGATCTTCTGTCTGCTCAATGGCCTGAGCTGAGCCAATCAGAGGCCAGGTGCCTGGAGCTTCTTCTGGGTCTCTCACGCAGGGTGCAGGGTCCCAAAGCTTTGGGCCGTCCTCGACTGCTTTCCCAGGCCACAAGCAGGGAGCTGGATGGGAAGTAGAGCAGCTGGAATTAGAACCAGTGCCCATATGGGATCCCAGGCGGGCAAGGCAAGGACTTTAGCTACTAGGCTACTGCTCTGGGCCCAGCTTTTTCAAATTTTACTTCAGACTTGACCTGTTAGCTTAGTTAACAAACAAGACCCGGCTGGCACAGGGCAGTGCTGTGTGTACTCCAACTAACCGTGCAACCGTGATTTAATCCTACACCTTCCTGTTTCTGTACATTTCCCTTGATTGCTATTTACAATCCATGTTTGTGAGTTTTGAGAAATTTTAACTTTCTATAATAGATGTGAGTTTGTTTATGGCAGCAGATGAGAAAACAGACTATTACCAACGAAGATTTTTGGTTACTGGTGGTGTGTGTGTGCAAGCAGCTGGGCAGAATGACAGCCGTGCTGAGGAGTGGGTGCTAAGGACTGAGGACTGACTGGAGGAAGAAAGCGCCTCCCGCCCCGAGGAACGCGGCGATCCGGTGTCTGCTGACTAGGGGACCCCAAGTGGCGGGAGGCTGAAACTGCAGCAGAGAGGCCAGGGTCCCGTGAATGGGGCTCTTGTTCCACGGAGACCACAGTGATGTGTGTGGGAGGAGGGGAGCCAATCTGAAAGGAGTCCAAGGGAGACGGATTCAATGCGAACAGTCTTCTGAGGGAGCAGCCTGGGAGGTTGGATGTGAAATGGGATAACAGGCAGCGAATGGCGTAAGGACCTGGTGAGGAGGCGAGGGGGGCTGCGCTGCCCCAGCCATGGCCTGCGTAGGAAAGCCTGAATCTCCATGCGAAACAAAATTACAGGTGTTTGCTAACCATCTTCCCCCAACAGCAACAGAGAACGGAGCCAAGTGTAGAAACAGAGACCGACAGTGAAATGAATGAGCATCCCAGCTCTGAATCAAAGCTCCGGAGCGCAGTTTCAACTCCCGGAAATGTCCTTACTCACACGAAGGAGTTCGTGAACTTTTTTTTTTTATTGGAAAGGCAGAATAGATTTGCAAAGAGAAGAAGAAAAAGAGAAATATCTTCACTCCCCAAGTGGCTGCAATGGCTGGAGCTGAGCCAATCCAAAGCCGGGAGCTGGGAGCCTCTTCTGGGCCTTCCTCAGGGTGCAGGGTCCCAAGGCTTTAGGCCATCCTCGACACGGACCAGCACCCATGTGGGACCGTGGCGTTTGCAAGGTGAGGATTTAGCCACTGAGCCATCACCCCAGGCCATCTCATGAGCCTTCTAGCAACAAAAACATTCACCACTACTTCCTGCCAACACCCCAATTCTGGGTCAAGACAACCAAGCAAGCTCCCTGACCTTCCGCCAACCGGGGTACACTCACAGAACCGCACACCCCACAAACATCCTCCGACCCCTCATGTTTCTTCTTTCTTGCCTCCCGCTTCATCTTTATCTTCCTCCCGAAGATTTATTTACTTCAGAGATTTGTTCGTCATTAATGCATGTGGAAGGCAGAGTTACAGAGATGGCGGTCTTCCATCCACCGTGCACTCCCCAGATGGGTCGGATGGAGGCCAGGAGCTTCTTTCAGGCCTCCCATGTGGCTGCAGGGACCCAAGCACTTGGGTCATCTTCTGCTGCTTTCCCAGGAGCATTAGCAGAGAGCTGGAGTGGAAGTGGAGCAGCCAGGAGGTGAACCAGCGCTCACAGGGTCCTGTAGGCTGAGGCTTAACACACAGTGACACAGTGCTGGCCCCCGCCGACTCACTGCACTCAGCTCCTTGTACCAAAGACAGGACTATTCTTAGTAGGGCCCAGTGGCCTCCACTTTGGTGAAGAGCCAAACCTCCAGGCCAACAGCCTGAGGGGTGCCTGTCCTCCTTACCCACCCCCTGTACTCACCAAGCATGTTTAATGGTTCTTTCCAGACATCTGTTGCTCTCCTCACCACTTCAGTGGGCCACTCAACCTCCTCGTCACAGGGTCACGGCTTCAATCCTTAGAGGTCAGCTCCTTTCTCAATCTACTTTGACTCTCACAAACTATCTCCTGTTTTGAAGATTTCATTTATTTGAAAGGCCGAGTTACAGAGCCAGCGGGGGGAAGAGGGAACAAGAATTTAGATCAGTGGTTAACTCTCCAAAGGGCCACTGCTGGGCCAGGCTGAAGCCAGGATCTCCAGCTGCATCCTTCACGTGGCTGGCAGGAACCCAAGCATGTGGCCGCCTTCTGCCGCTTTTCCCGGCACGTTAGCAGGAAATGGGATTGGAAGCGGAGCAGCAAAGACTCAAAGGGTGTTCATGTGGGACGCCAGGCAGTGGCTTTACTCACAATGCCAGCCCTATAAAGTAGCTTTTAAAAGATGGACATCTGGGGCCCGGCGTGGTGATACAGTGGTTAAAGTTCTTGCCTTGAACACGCCGGGATCCCATATGGATGCCAGTTCATATCCTGACGACCCTGCTTCCCATCCAGCTCCCTGCCTGTGGCCTGGGAAAGCAGTCGAGGACGGCCCAAAGCCTTGGGACCCTGCACCCAAGTGGGAGACCCAGAAGAGGCTCCTGGCTTTGGATTGGCTTAGCTCCAGCTGTTGTGGCCGCTTGGAGAGCGAACCATCGAATGGAAGATCTTCCTCTCTGTCTCTCCTCCTCTTTGTGTATCTGCCTTTCAAATAAAAATAAATAAATCTTTAAAAAAAAGAAGATGGACATCTGGTCACTTGTCCAGCTTGCTGTCATCCACTGCTCTCTTTGTAATTTTGCCTGTCAATTAAATCTTTAAATAAATCATAAATGAGATTGTTTTTTAAGTTTTGCTCCCCTCCCCGTTCTTTCCAAGGTTTTTTTGTGTGTGTGTGTGTGTGTGTGTGGTGTATGCGTGCCCTGTGTGATTCTTGTCTCAAACTGCACCAGTGAGGCCAGTGCTGTACTGCAGGTTAAACTTCAGCCTGCAACGCTAGCATCCCATATGGGCATGCTGGCATCCTAGCATCCTAGCTGTCCTACTTCTGATTCAGCTCTTTGCCAATGTCCTTGGGAAAGCAGTGAAAGAAAACCCTGTTCCTTGGGCTCCTGTGCCCATGTGGGAGACTCAGCAAAAGCCCCAGGCTTCTGGCTTCAGACTAGCCCAGCTCCAGCTGCTGCGGCCAACGGGGAAGTGAACCAGAGGCTAGAAGAAAATCTCCGACTCTTCTTCCTCTGTAAATCTGCCTTCCAAATTAAAATAAATCTTTTTTTTTTTTTTTTAAAAGAAAAGCACTGGCTAGCAAAGATGGTCCAGTTATTTGGTAAAGAGCTTCCTGGGTCACCAGGCACCAAGGCTGCTTTAATTCCAAATGGCTGCTACCAGCTGGAGAAGCCAGAGCCGATACACGGACAACAGCCTGCTGGCTCCCTCTACTGGCTGTTGTATAACACTGCCTCCAGCTCCTGCTCCTGCCGGTCAAGGAATCAACTATTTAATAAAAAAGGGAGAGATTAAAAAGGTCAGAAAGGATTTTAAAAATCCTCAATTTGGGGATTGCAAATGGAAAAAGGGAGCTTTACTTAATCCTTGTCTGAAAGGATTATAACCTGCTTTACAGATCATAGATCCATACCATGAGTTCGCTCGGCAATTACTATTTGTAGATTTACTGAACCACAGCCAGGTCCACTACAAATGTGGATAAAGAGAGAAAGCGATTACGATGCCAAACATGAGCTCAAATTGCTGAGAAGAGCCTTACCGAATCAGCCACGAGAGGTCAGCACTATGGCACAGTGGACTAAGCTATAGTGTGCGGTGCCAGCACCTCCTAGGAGCACTAGTTCTAGTCCTGGCTGCTCCACTTCCCATCCAGCCTCCTGCTCGTGTGCCTGGGAAAGCAACAGAGGATGCTCCAAGTGCTCGGGCCCCTGTGCCCACGCAGAGGAATGGGTAAAGTTCCTGGCTCCTGGCTCTGAAGCGGCACAACTCTGGTCGCAGCGGCTGTTTGTGAAACGCACCAGCAGACTGCAGTCCTCTCGGTCTCCCTACCTCTCTCTGGAACTCTTTCAAATAAAAAACACAAAAAAGCACAGCTCGAAAGGAAACTGGACAGAAGGT